GGCGTGCCCCATTTTCCTTCGTATCCCCACAGAGCATGCGATATCCTTGCAGGAGCTGGTGAATCGTTGGGTCAGTGATGATGGACGTAAGTTCCTTATATCCGTTAGGCCTTTGATGATACAACTTGGGCGCAGCACTGAGCATGGTAAGAACCATTCGAGTGTCGCCTCGCTGACCGAATTGATTTACCTGTTCTCGCTGGCAGGCGAGTTGAGCGGCGTTCGTTTCAAGCTGTCTCAGGTGTTCTGCACCTGGGAGAACAAGTCACCTCTGGACATTACAGAGCGGTGCTGAGGCAGGGCTCCCAGTGGTACATTGCAGACGATGGCGTAGAAGCATTAATCACAGGCATGGGTGCTCATCTTACCCAGCATATGTATCTGCTTTGGCTCCAGCCACTGGACGATGGAGCGGAGTCCTTGCCATGACGGAGGCAGTACAGGAGCAGGAGCTGGAGTTCTGGGACATGTGGAAGAAATCTCAACGGACCAGCATGGACGCGGAAGGGTCTACTGCTGCAGAGACAGATGCACCTGCCAAAGAGGACAGCTCTGGACAGCATCCTGATGCTCCGCCTTCGAAGTACCCCAAACCTTCCAGTAAGGGGGCTGGACAGACCGGTGGTCGCGGCAAGGGCAGGCGCGAATGGGGTAAGGAGGACGACTCCAGCAAGTCCTGGAACGACAAGTCAAACTGGCAATGGCAAAGCTCGGTGGCTCGTCAGGTGGACGCATTCAGGCTCTTGGGTCCCAGGTTCGCAACTTGACCCGCTTAGCTCTTCGTCACGAAGATGCTATTGGGCTCCTGAGAAGCGAATTCTCCTTTGTTATCCACGCCAGGGTTGATGCTCCGACTTCGGTTGTGAAAACCATGTTTGCTATGCAGCAAGAGTGGAGAAAATGAAGGAGAAGGAGCCCTCCAAGCTCACCGGACCGCTCCGCGTCGCTTTACTGGGCTGTTTGTTCAAAGAACTCCAGTTCAGAATGGAGCAGCTGCTGCAGGATGAGCTGATGTCCAAGACATGGATTGATATGGAGTGGCTCTCGAGAGACTCGGGATTTTTCCCGTACCTGCGCTACAATCAGGAGACGAAGCGACATGAGCCTGAGAAGAATCGTCCGGGGCTCCCTGTTCAGGTCCTACGTGAGCACATTGCGGAAGTAGCCAAGAACATCCCGGCTCCAGGAGCGCTCGCAAGATATCACCCTATCCGGCCGCTTACGGCCAGTACGACTGGGGACTCTCTTGTCTTTCTTCTCCAAACTGGGGTGGGCACGGAGGCGGCACAGAACCTATGTCTCCACCTGCGTGCGCTCCTCGGGCGTAGCGTCACGCAGCTCTGCGCTTTTTCGCTTCAGGCGGATAGGCTCCAAAGATCTGGCCTTGCGGTCCAACTTTCAAAGAGTCTTCAAGACCAGGGCGGGCGATAGTGCTCAGGTGGCGGTTTTTGGTCACAGCGTCATTACAAGTGGCGTCAGTTTTCTGGTGCGCGATGCTGCACACAGCAATGCTATGGCTTCCGAAGCGAATGCCGGCTGCACTTGCGGCTTAGAGCTGCCTGCATGTGAGCTATGGGAATTTGCTCTGTTCACAGCAAAACGAATGATTCTTTCTGCTGCTGTATTTTTGCCTCTCTTTGTGGTGACGTCATGGCGGATGTCAACGGCTGATGCACTGAGGTCGGTTCCTTGGTGAGTTGGGCACAGAGCTCGCACATGCGCCCTGGGGAATGAATGGAGTGACACAGGTAGTGCAGCTGCTGGATGGGCTCCCGTTTGCAAGGCATGCAGTGCTTCTAGGCGCTTGCATGGCTGGCTCAGAGCAGTGGTTTTGGCCTCAGATGGGTAGCTACATTGCAGTGGGCTGAGAGTTTTACTTGGGCTTGCATTCTTCTCTATGTGTGGATTTGGGGTACTTTGGTTTTCAACGTAACACATACTCCAGCGGATCCCTGCTCACGCACATTGGGCCATGGAGGAGGAGGACATGTGCTCCATCTGGCGACTTGAGTTACCTTCTATACTTGGCGTTGCTGCTCCTGGTTCGGAGGTTTTGGACGCAGATGAGTCTGCCTCTTTGACCTTGACTATGACTCCTCGGAAGAGGCTAGGTATGAGCAAGAGGCCATCGCCGCCGATGAGGATTTGGAGGCGCTTATGGGGTCCTCTACGGACTCCCATGTTAGTGCAGTCTCCGGCTCAGCATTTGGTTTTCATTGGCAATTGCAGCTTCCGCAAATCTATTACAATACTCTTTTGCCTGAGAATGTTGACTTGGGGTGCTTCCAACCGCGTTCGAGTTTGGAGGCGGAGGCTAAGAAGGCGCTTCTAAGAGGCCTTATGCCTGGTGACCTCGTAGCGAGTCTGGCAGATGCGCTTCCTTCTTCTTTGCGCAGCATCCATGGCTGTGGCAACTTTGGGTCCAGTCTTGCGCCCAGGGCATTTACCGCAGGCGCTTTTATCCACGGTCCGCATGCGGGCTTGCATACGGTTACAATGGAGTATGAGCTTGCAGTGCTGGTACTTGTTTCTGTTGTGAGGGGCATGCGTCCAGAAATGGCATTCTCTACCATTTCCCTGCTCAGGAATATACAAGCCACCATGCATAGAGACTGCCACAACCATGCGCAAACATATAATTTCGTTTTGCCGATGACACATTTTTCTGGCGGCGAAGTTTTTGTTGAAGATCCGTATGGGAAGTCGAGCATGGGGCCTTGGAGCATTGCTGGTACGGTACTTCCGCTGCTGGTTGATTCGGAGCCCAGTCCGGTAGAGTTCAGTCCACGGCTATGGCATTGTAATCTCCCGTGGGGAGGAGAACGGGTCATTTTAGCGGCCTTTCACATTCGTAATCCTGAAATGCTGCCAGGGAATGCCGCTTTGCAGCTTGGTAGAATGGGATTTCGCCTACGCAGGAAGTGACCGGTCTGTGTCTCCTCGTGCTGCTGCGCTTGATGCTGGCAAAACATGGCTGCCCTTATGCTGGAGATGTTCTGGTACGCGCTCATTCTTGTCCTGTCAGGTACAATGCGGGCTCTCATACTGACAGGTCATTGCTTGCTCAATGCATATTCTTATATATAGCTTGGCTTACGGCCATAACTGATTCTGGAATGGAAGTGCTGCCGGACGCGGGGCATTCCATATGCTGTCGGCCTGGTATGGTACGGGCACCAGGATTCGTTTATTAAGCACAGAGGACGCTCGTGCTTATGTCGTGACGGAGCCTCGTATGTACAAAGTAGCTAGCTGTGTCTTTGGCTGAAGCTTCAATGTGCCGCTCGAATTGGTTTGTGCAGTTTTTGGATCTCCTGTTAATGATTCAGATCCAGAGTGCTTGGCTCCACGGAGCGACTCTGGAGGGGTGCTTGGCCATTCGTGGCGACCCCGTTCTCTTTGAGTTATTTTTCATTTCGCTTACGAATGATGAGTAAGCATGTCTATCCACACGGGCCCGAAGGGCGTGGCTTAGATGCCGCCGCCACGAAGGTGGTGCCGCCGCATGGAGAAGAGACTTCTCTAGCGACTAGGAAAGGAAAGGAAGCAGGAGTAGTAGTAGGAGTAGGAGTAGGAGTAGGAGTAGGAGTAGGAGGAGGAGTAGGAGTAGTAGTAGTAGTAGTAGTAGTAGTAGTGGTAGTAGGCGCCCCCCCTACCAACTATGTTGGTTGACATTTTCAATACCTTCAATACCAAAGCTTTTGTAGGATTACGTACACACCAGCCATAACCAATCAACTTCCGCCAAACTTAAAGCTTTTCCTTACTGTGGATTACCGCCTGTTTGGCCTGCATTTAAACTTCTTTCAGGCGCGCCGGCAGTGCTCTTTAAGTTGCCTTTTTTCAGACCCTCCCGGCGCCATTTCGGGCGCGATCTCGGTCACCCTTTACACGCCCTTTAAATTCCCGTGAAACTGCTTTTGTAGACCCTCCCGATGACCCTCCAAGGGCTTTGAAAGCCTTATCTAGCCATCAGAGGCCTAAACTATGGCTGCAAGGGATGTCAAAGGCGGTCCGAAGTTGCGCCGGGAGGGTCTAGAAGAGGAGTTGTAAAAGCAATTTTCGGGGGGGTTTGCAGGAGGAGTTTAAAGGCAATTTAAAGGGCGACTGAGGGCGCGCCCGAAATGGCGTCGGGAGCGTCTAGAGAGGAGTTTAAAAGCAATTTAAAGGGGGGACCGAGGGCCCCGAAATAGCGCCGGGAGGGTTTAGAAGAAGATTTTAAAGGCCGTGGAAAAGCTGACCGATGGCGCGCCCGAAATGGCAGCGGGAGGGTCTAGGAGAGGAATTTAAAGGCAATTTGAAGGCTGACCTAAGACGCCGGGAGGGGGAATCCGAAAGCGAGCCCGAAATGGCGCCGGGGCGGTCTAGAAGAGGAGTTTGAAGGCAAGGTGAGGGGAGACCAAGGAGGGTGCGCCCGAATTGGCGCCGGGAGGGTCTAGCAGCAATATACTGGTAGTGCCCCCTCCACCGTTATTACCAATCCCTCAAATTTAAAATCAAAGCAGCTGCTTTCTTTGTCCGGCACCCGAGTTTCAGGGAGGCCTGTTGCATTTCGCGTGGAAGGCGTTTTAAACAGTCCACAGAAGCCTCTTGCAGCGCTCTCAGCACGTTGCTGCTTTGAAAGCTTGTACGTAGCTTTTGAAAACTGCTCGACATGTTGAAGAGACGCTCCCTGGAATGTATCTCTTCGGGTACTTCCAGAATCCGTCCACAGATTTTGGTGTGGATCATAAGAAGCCTAGTTGATTTGTGGTCTCCGTCGGAATGGCTGCAAAGCTTGATGCTTCGGGGAGCAAGCCAAAAGCGGAAAGCGTTAAGCTGGAAGAGAAAATCAAGAGAGCCCAGGCTGAGAGTATGAGGCAGAACTCAGCAGCAGCAGGATCAGCAGGCTGAGAAGAGTCACTAGCTACTAGACAGTAGAATGCCAGAAGCAAAGCAACAATCTAAAATACGAGCGACAAATCCTTGAAGAAAACGATCCCCAACCAAATCCGAATGGCCTCAGCCTTGTGTCTGTCGAAAAGCTCGACCAATGCCTTCATGTACTGTTTGTGCCAGTGATCCACCTAGCAGGGTAATCCAAATCATGCAATTGACTGCAGCCCCATGCATCATGCATCCTCCTCTTCCGTCGGTTCTGGCAGCTTGGGCAGCTCCAAGGCCGGACCAACGAAGGTCAGCAACTGGCCATGAGGTTACATGGCTTCACATGTTTCACAGTCCCTCTATGTCCCTCTCAAATGCTTCTAGCCGGGAGATAATTGGTGTGACCTTCCCCTGTGCCACCGTCTTGGCTTACATGGTCCAATGAGGTCTTTCTCCTGAACACTGCATTGCATGTCACTGCATGTCACTACTTTTCACGGAGGTTTTTGCTGTCTTCTGTAAGCGAAGAAGCAACACCCGGCACACAGGATTCGACAGTATATGATGCCTTCTTCTTCATGACACGAACACTAGAGTCTCAACAGAACACTTCGGCACCTCAAGGTTGCATCGCGGCAGCAAAGGGCACCACCTGCAGGGTGGATGGAAGTGCAAAACTAAATCACATGGAAAGCGGTTGAGAACTAGCGGATGTGACAGTTGATGGTTGATGCCAAACCAATCGCCGAGACTGACTAAGTCTCGCTCAATCATAACCTTTGCAAGCCACAAGTCCTGCAGACCCAGGATAATGCGTCCCGCTATTGTCCGATCTTGTCCAAAGAGCGCGGCTACCTTTGGATTCAACGTATATAATGGGGGTTCTGATTATTTGACCCCCCCCCCCCCCCAACAAGTGCGGATCGGAATTAACGGGGGGGGCCCCAATCAAG